AATGAATGGTCTGTTTGGAAGGGTCCCAACAGTGTCGCGGCCTCATTAGGGCACAAACTTGTCAGGTTGCCCAAACTTATTCATTTGCACGACAACAAACACATCACCCCAGTAGATAGAGTAGTGTGCTGCTGCTTTCACATATGGTTGGCCCAGCCCTCTCCCTCTCCCTCTCTCTCTCTCCGGCGAATACGGTTATATCTCATCAATATTTCATTGTGAATAACTCTATATATATATATAATGTCGAATAGTTGAGAGAGGTTCGCGTAAGTATGATCTTCGATAACCACTGATTCGGGGGCTGAGTCAGTTTGTCTATAGGGTCATCCTAGAGTTGGGTCATCTTTGGTCCCTGTTAGGATTGGGTAGGGTCTGTTTTGGCCTTCTGATCTAATATGAACACCTAGTGATTTGAACTTCCTCGTACCGAAAGATATGTACAAAGAAAATTTGGGTACCAAAATATAATTTTTCAAATAGAAGTTTGATGCTTTAAGCTTACCCCCAAGCGGATCATACAATATCAAAACAAAATAGGGGTCTAGTCGAATCAGGTTTGTAGATTGATCTTATAAAGCCAAATGTTTTAGAATAGTTCTAGGATTAGTGTCACCCTAGTTCATGTATGGATCTTACTTCCAAATAAAATGGTGGGTTAAAGATTTTGCAAGATCATTATGTATATGAATTAATCACCATGCATTATGTATTTTGCAAGATCATTACTTCTCCTAGCTAGCCTGCAGTTTGTCCTTTAGTTTAGAGTTTGCGTACGTAATGCCGCATGTATATGCGGCGATGAATAAGGTGATTCCTCTTTTTCTTTGAGGATTAATTAAATATTTAAGGTGGATTCCAACCTACGTACGTTGTTTCCATCTTTTATGGCACACAAGGGGAACAATTCAACCTTGATTCAGCTTCTTTGAATCTCAAAGTAACAGTTAACTGTCAAGTACGTACAAGACAACAATGAACGAATGAATGATACTATTTTGTTTCGTTCTTGTATCCAGCTACCAATCCTTAAAATGCTATCTTCTCAAGGTATAAGCTTGAGATTTTGATGGCTTAACCTTAATTATCATCAAATTTGATTATTAAGGATGATAATTGTGATCATGTGAAAGCTACACGTTTGACGTATAAAGTCCAAAGACAAAGGGAGCATGGGGGAGTAGTTATAGGGTTAACATCTTGAAAGGAACTTAATCTAAAGAAGAGAGAAGACTAACAAAGGAGCAAAAGAAAACAAGAGGGGGAAAGGAGAGATGTAGCTTTTTGTCTGAAATCAGTCCACACAAACAAAATGGAATGGCCAATTTGGTGGTGTTAGTGGCAACCCCCCAATTCAAGATGGGGACAATGGAAATATGATGTGTTAGGGATACCAAAGTTCATCTCCCTCAACCCACCCAATTGGTCATATGACCATCCATGATGCATTAGCTATGTGGTGAAGATGGGTGTGTCTTATCAATTCCCCACTTTGATTTTCTCTTGCTTCTTTTTTGGTCTATAGGATGGGTGTTTGTGGGGTTACACCAAAGAGGTGATTGGTGGAACAATTACCCACTTCATGTCTCTTTGCTTTGTTTGCTAGGTAGCTAGGACATTTCAACACTCATATCATCACTACCTCTCTTCACCCTACCCTTTGTCCACATAACTTGATCATTGTGGATTCTTTTTTGTTTGAGCCAATTTCATTTTGTGTCTCCATTTGATATGATTTCATTTGGATCCTTATCGTAAATTGAATGAACTTGGACTACAACCATTTTGTGTTCAATTATAAGTCCAGTGAATTTGAGTTGTAGCCATTTTAGAAGGAATTTTGCTACCATGTTTGTGTTTGATGTCATCTCGATCACATAGAGGGCTCCTCACAAAACATGCAATCATGTGCACCTAATGATTGAAATGTAAATACTCGATATGACGATATCAGCATGCGCTGACGTGTACCCATCAGCATAGTAACCCTGGGTTGTTGTATAAAATTGAATTTGGATTGGTTGGTGAAATATATTTGTCACCGCCACTCACTTGTAATGTGATTTTTACTAATCAATGAGTGATCTTGTTCTTTAAGATGATGGTTAGTGGGTCCTAAAATGTTTTACATTAAAGAATGCATGCGTACAAATGCTAATTTAGCTTTGCAATTGCAATCATCACCATGATAGATTGTGCTCTCTTTAAAAAAAAAAAAAAAAAGAAGAAGAAAAAAACTTGATAGATTGTGCTTTACTCCTATCTATGGCACCTAACGGTAGGGCTATTTTCAGAATCCCACATTATTCATATGTTCAGTCTCACTAATCAGAAAATTAATTGTACATCCACAGTACACATCCCGAAGTGTTTGAGAGTTTACTTGGCACTGGTGTAACAAAGCGTTGATCTAAGAGAAAAGTTTAAATACTTCACCATCGTGTGTGACATTTGATACATGTATCAATTTATATAATATGTGGACGATGATTCACATATAATACCATTGAGGAATTCAATTGTTTTATCTACCCACTAACATGAAGATAGATAGATAGATAAACAATAAAAGTGGGTAATCTACATAAGTATTGTGTGACAATAGAGATGACAATATACATGAAGTAATATAAAATTGAATGTCTCTTCTAAAAAATCTAGAACCATACTTTCATACCATAACAACAAAACAATGCAGCAATATAGGCCTTTGACCATGACAAATCACAAAAATAAAAGAGCATGAGATAGCATGCCTACCCATAAAAGGGTTGGCAAAATGACAACCCCTATTAATTATAGGTTTTTAAGGTAATTAATTTGTGTTGCATTTAATAATCTGTATGAATTAAAAACACATATTAATTACTTTCCTTTTTTCAGTGCACTGGTAGTTGTATCAGTGCACTGGTAGTTGTGTACAGGTGCAATGGTAGATGTATCACTGCAATGGTAGTTCCAAAAAAGGAACGTAATTAATATGAGTTCAGTATATCAGTGCACTGATACAACTACCAGTGCACTGAAAAAGGAAAGTAATTAATATGTGTTTTTAATTCATATAGATTATTAAATGCAACACAAATTAATTACCTTAAAAACCTATAATTAATAGGGGTTGTCATTTTGCCAACCCATACAAGGGTTAGCATGCTAACCGATCCCCTAGTTTGTGGATTTGCACAAACTCAATGCAAAAAATGGAAGCTCGTTAATTTTGTTTGTGTATTTTTCTTTTGGTCAATTTTCTTTTTATATAAAGAAAGGAGAAAAAGGAAAAGAAGACCTCTGGACCCAAAAAGAGAAAGTAGGAAAGAAGACCCCTTTTGACCGTCACAACGACCGTCCATGTCTGTTTCTAGTATTCTTCCCTTACTAAGTTATTCTTCCTCCCTCTCCAATTTGTCTGCCATTAGGTGAGCCCCTTCATCAACACTCGCTACCTCTTTAGCCCCAAAACTTATGTTTCAAAACATTTCAGTCCCCTGGAGTTCCATTATCAGTATATTACCTCAATATTTACCTGAACCCTTCCACTACGCTCGTACTATCCAACCCAGGGACGAAGCCAGCTTGATAATAGGGAGCCCCTTCATCAACACTCACTACCTCTTTAGCCCCAAAACTTGTGTTTCAAAACATTTCCAATCCCCTGGAGTTCCATCATCAGTATATTACCTGAACTCTTCCACTACGCTCGTACTATCCAACCCAGGGACGAAGCCAGCTTGGTAATAGGGAGCCCCTTCATCAACACTCACTACCTCTTTAGCCCCAAAACTTGTGTTTCAAAACATTTCCAATCCCCTGGAGTTCCATCATCAGTATATTACCTCAATATTTACCTGAACTCCTCCACTACGCTCGTACTATCCAACCCAGGGACGAAGCCAGCTTGGCACTAAAATTTAAAAATCTTGTAGGTTTCATGCTTACAAATGATCGATTATAGTTTGAGTGGTTAAGAATGCTAATATAAGTTAACTCGTGAATGGGAGGTCAGAGGTTCGACCCACCTTCACTCCTGCCTACCTTAAAGTGCTGTAAATTGCAAATTGTTATGGTTTGTACCTTGTAGTAATTAGTATACGATAAGTGGATAATGTACTTTTTTTTGAAAATTTCAATTTTTTTTTGTTAAATTAACTACATTTTTATAACAATATATAATCCTCAATTATAAGTGATGTAAATTGCAAATTATTATGGTTTGTACCTTGTAGTAATTAGTATATGCTAAGTGATTAATGTACATTTTTTTGTTGAAAATTTCAACTTTTTTTGGTTAAATTAACTACATTTTCATAACAAGAAATGGAATACTCTAATCTATAAATCTATTAGTGACTTGCATTCTAGAGATTAAAAAGGTATATATTTTTTTATAGTTTACATTAGAGTTTTTCAAGAATTTACGGGCAAATTTTCATAAATTATGTCATCGAGAAAGAAAAATTTGCGACCCCCCTAACTTCAAATCCTGGCTCCGTCCCTGATCCAACCAATCTTCGTCTGCATTTGTTCAGTCTTTTCAGCCATAACCAAAAAATGTATGAAATGATAGGAGAATGATTCTTGATCTCCACTCCAACGATTACAAGAATGGGAGGTATTTCATATGGGAGAAGAAAAATGCTATAACTGTTCGAAGGGGTTGCAAAAGCTAGAAAAAACATAAATACAGGTACTAAATTGTACTTAGTCATTTCTTACCATTTTCCTCACTTCACTCTCCCCCGACCAGTTACCGTCATCTCTCCGTTACGTTCCTTCTATATAACCCAATCCCATTCCTCCATCCTCCTTCCGCCATTCGCCATTCCTCTGCTTTCTCTCCCTTTCTCCAAATTCTCTGCTTCAAAGATCCCCCAAAATTAAAAAACGAAAATTCCCCTTATTTCGATCATTCTTCTCCTCTTCAACCACAACGTAATTACTACTTCAATTTCTTCCTAAACAGAAGCAGAAGCAAGAAAGAAGCAGGAATCGGAGCAACAAAAATGGGGTTTCCCGTTGGATACACGGAGCTCCTCCTGCCCAAATTCCTAATCCACACGCTCTCCCTCCTGTCCTTCCTCCGGCGACTCATCAACGCGCTCTTCCGCGTCATCGGACTCCCCGATTTCCTCGAACCCAACATCTCCTGGTCGCCGCCGCCTTCTTCTTCTCCCGACGTTGACTCCTTCGCGCCGCGGTCGCCGGTCGGCGGCGGTGGGTTCCCGGAGTTCCAGCGCTCGGTGTCGGCGGTGCTGATCCGCGAGATCCTGCCGGTGGTGAGGTTCGGCGACCTGGTGGACCCGCCGGAGAGCTGCGCGGTGTGCCTGTACGACTTCGAGGCGGAGGACGAGATTCGGGGGCTGGCGAATTGCCGCCACGTATTCCACAAGGGGTGCCTCGACCGGTGGATGGGATACGACCGGAAGACGTGCCCGCTGTGCCGGACGCCGGTGATTCCGGAGGATATGCAGGAGAGCTTCAACGAGAAGTTCTGGGCGGCGTCCGGGATCCCCGATTTTTACGGCGAGTTCTCGCAGATTGCTAGCTAGAAGAAGACGGCCCGGATTCGCCGGATAGCTTAAAAAAAGGGGGAAATTGTGGGGATATGATTTTTTTTTTTCGTTTCCCTTTTTTTACATTTTCTTGTTTCTCTTTTTTTTTTTTTAACAATCGACGGCAGGAGGAGATGTGGATGAAATTGGTGGGTGAGATTCTTGTACATATTTTACATAAGGAAAAAGAAACGACAAAATGAAATGAGATGAATTTGAGGATTCAAAAGAGTTTTGTGATTTGTATGAGTAGTGAAGTGTATTACACCATTTGTTCACTTTTAGAATAACAATTTGTTTTTTTGGACCGACGACAAGGCTCCAAAATTCCGATCTTTGATTTCTAGCAGAGGTGTTTCTCTCAATGGGTCCAATCCATTTTTTATGGATGGACTCTTCCTTTTATGATGAAAATAACTAAATATGAATTTACAAAAAAAAAAAAAAAAACTTCATTAGAAAATGCATCATGTCAATGCAAACCAACAACCACCACATCTTCGTTTTGAGTGTAGCTCTAGCACAACCTAAAACTCAATAAATTTTGCGACTAACACTTCATTCTTTCGATGAGTAACACATACTCAAATCATCTTTTCAATGCTATTGACGACATCAAAATTTTAACATCTTACATGGACAGTAACAAACCCATATTTTGAAAATAATATGACATTTTATCACATTCGTCAAATAAATTTATGTTTTCTTTTTCTTTCTTCAAAAGTTCTCATCCTAAAAATTATTAGTGTCATCTAAACCAGGGTCAACTAGTAAGGCTGCTATTTTCCTCTTCAATGGGTTTATGAGGGGCTGATTATCAAAATTAAAAAAGAAAATTAGTGTATATTGTCAATCACGATTCACACATGTCCAAAATTCATCGCCCAAATTCTCATAATATCATATGCAAATTGCGTATTGTATTAGGATCAAGAACAAGACCTTACATCACTATCAATATTGCGTTCCTTGAATGTTTATCAATTTAATTGAAATTATTCATAGAAAAATGGTTACTTCTTACTTGCAACATTCATTTCGCTGTACTCGATGGATTGCGTTTCTTAATGCGTTCTTTGATTTTGTTTTAATCTCTTATCATTTTATCGGTCATAGTCGGCACCCCTTATCTAGCTTGATAATGCAAATAATTAATATTATCGTCATAATTATTATAACTCAGTCTATGAGTTGGATTTGGAAGGACGAATACAATTCCTTTTTTTACAGGAAAGGAAAAATACAATATCACTTATCATTTTCCATATGTTTTTGGCCTGAAATAACACCCAAAAAAATCGAGTCAAATTAAAGAATCGTTTCAACACTCAAGTTAGGAGAATGTTGGAAGATAGAATCGAGAGAGGACTTGATCTGAAGGACTGAAGCTTCCAGGAAAAATACAGAAGGAAAGAAAGAAGGTGGTGGGAAATGGGAACAGATTCTGGATATATGCCAGCCATTGATCTTTTTTTTTTCATTGACAGGGCCGGTAAAATAGATAGTAAATTAGGGCTGCAAATGAGCCGGTCTACTCGCGAGCGGCTCGACGTTCGACTCGCAAAAAGTTCGTTCGAAATTCGACTCGTTTACTAATGAGTCGAGCTTGAGCTTAACCTTTTGAAGCTCGCGAAGCTCGCGTGCTAGATCGACTCGGTAGCTTGTTGAGCTTAACTCATGAGCTGGCTCGTTTAGAGTTCATGCGATGTCTCAACTCTCAACATTGTGACTAAAGAGCAAACTCGATTACTGAGTTATGAGCGAATCGATCTATATGATTTTGATTTTGATAATTCATAGGATTGTTAAATTATATATATCACCGTATATGAAATTTAACACGTAGATTATGTGAGTAAATATGTCTTATTTAATTTTAAAATGCAATTTTGTATCATAGATTGTTTTTTTTTTTTTGATGAATCAATGGGTTTCATTCATCAAAAAGAATGGTGCTAGCAACAAACCTTGCTAGCTAGGTATAATACTCACATGGCAAAGATAGTGAAAAAATCTAAACACTCAAGAGCAGCAAACAGATGAAGATAGCTAACTATCCCAGAATAGGTGAACTCTATTACTACCTAGGAAACATTCAATTTCATATTGAATCACCCTCAACAAGGTGCTATAATCCCTCACTTTAGCAGAGTATAGACGACGGCACCGTTCTCTTCATATGTGACTCACCCATGCTTGCCAGATTATCCTCCCAATTTCGGCAGCTTCAGAAGGACCTCCAAATTAGGACACCATCAAAGTCAGCACATCTTCCCACCCCTGCAACGAGGGGATCTGCATAAACCTGGAAAATAGGGCATCTAAAAGTTGTCTTGCAAACGGGCAGAGTGCATAAAGATGATCTCTGTCCTCCATCCCAACTCCACACAAACCACAGGTTAGACTTCCACTATACCCCCTAACGCTGCATCTTCACTTTAGTGTTGATGCTCCCTCTAATAACAAGCCAAGTGACAATTCTGTTCCTAGGAATGACCTTCCCCTTCTAAACCAGTTTCAACCATCCTACAGTCTGCTGAACAGGGCGCAGGAGCTTCCAAATTCGCTTAATAGAGAAAACAGGCATAGGAGAGTTGTTAAGAAGGAGCTGGCTTCCCCTAATCGAAATAAATGATGAAATTTTACCCAGCAACTTCAGCATCTTGTGCCAATTCCAGGAACCTGAATTGCATGAGTAGCTCCAAATATCCCTACCCTTCAGTTTGTACTTGTTAATCCAGGCAACCCAAAGCGAATCTTCCTGCATAAGAATCAGCCATAAATGCCTAGTCATGCAAGCCTGATTCCAACTCCACTGATCCCTGAAACCCAAACCCCCTTCCTTTTTAGGATAGGTAACCTTCTGTCAAACCACATTTGCTCTGCGTTTTACACCTGCTCCAACCCCCCATATGAAATTACTGCAAATCTTTTCTACTTCCTTGATGAAAGACTTAGGCAAAAGGAAAACTGACATTCAGAACTGAGTGAGACTGTACAAAACTGTACCAACAAGCTCAATTCTTCTAGCATAAGAAAGTGCCTTCACTTGCCAACTCTTTATCTTCTTAAACATTTTATCAATGAGAGATTGACAGGCAGACAAACTAAGCTTCCCTGATATCAGGGGAACCCTCAGATAACGAACAGGAAACTCACCAAGCTTATAGCCAAATCTAGCATCCCTGAGTTGCCTCTCTGCCCTTTCAGTTCCCCCAAGGAAGATCTCACATTTGCTAGGATTAGATTTTAGCCCAGAAACCCTCTTAAACTGATCCAGAACTCGTTGCAATTCTTGAATACCATAGTTTGACCCATCCGAGAAGACCAAAAGATCATCCGCAAAGCATAGATGTGTAAGTTTAATACCTTTGCACATAGGATGATAAGGGAACAGATCACTAGCTGCTGATTGATCGATTAAGCAAGTAAAAACCACCATTGCAATGGAAAATAGATAAGGGGACAAAGGGTCTCCTTGTCGAAAACTTTCCTATCTGGGAAGTAGCCAACACTTAACACTTAACATAGGAGTTCCAACATACATACTGATCCATTTCACAAATCGTTCAGGAAATTTCATACATCTTAACACTTGAAAAATGAACTCCCAGTCAACAGAGTCAAATGCCTTCATAAGATCAATTTTAATGGCACATCTCTAAGAGATATTCTGATGAGAATATTTATGAACCAGCTCATGAGCCAACAGAATATTTTCACCAATTAGTCTTCCTTTAACAAAAGCAGTTTGATTTTTACTAATCAGAGAAGGGAGAAGAGGGCTAAACATATTAGCAATGAGCTTAGATATGCACTTATACAGAATATTGCAGCAGGAAATAGGCCGAAAGTTCTTCATCTCATCAGGGTTAGGGACTTTAGGAACAAGGGAAAGGATGGTGGCATTCACTGGTCTAGGGATTCTATCTTGTTCAAAACAATATTTAATAGCAAAGGTTACCTCAGGTCCAATAAGAGGCCAGACATACTGAAAGAAAGCCGCAGAGAAACCATCAGGGCCTGGACTCTTGTCCCCATCCATAGAAAATAAAACATCCTTGATCTGGTCATCAGAAAAAGGATCACACATCCCCTCAGTCTGCTCATAACTAAGTTTGCTTTTTAGCAAATTATCAAAGTAACTATCTGGCTGCTTCATAACCTCAGGATCAACCACTCCCAAAAGAGATTCATAAAACCTGACTGCAACTTGAGCCATTTCCTCAACATCATGGATTTGATCTCCTGACTAGTTTCTTAGCATTCTAATAGTGCTTTTCTTATGCTTAGATCCGACTGACCGATGAAAATAAACTGAGTTCATATCACCTGTTTTAAGCCAACTCTCTCTTGATTTCTGTTTGTAAAAACACTCATCGGCATCCATTAAAACTTTTAGCTCCTGCCCCAGCTTCCTTTCATATTCAAAGTTAACAGTAGAAGGATCAGTGACAGCCATCAGCTGAATGCTTTGCACCTCAGCTTCCTTCTCTTTTACTCTTTCTCTGAGATCATAGTACTCCTCTCTATTCAACTTCCTTAACAAGTTCTTCAGGTTCTTAAGTTTTTGGCAAAACTCTTATCAAAGGATGCTGACTAGTTACTTTACTTCTCCAAGCCTCTTCCAACAATGAATCAAAACGAGGGTGATGAATCCAAAACTTGAAGAACATGAACGGCTTTGGGAGAGACTTTAAAGAGGCTAATGTATCCACAAACATAGGACAGTGATCAGAAACACAAGGAGATTGGAAATGAACTTTACTCTCCTTAACCTTATCCATCCAATGAAAATTAATCAGGACACGATCAAGACGCTTAGCAATAGGGTTAGTTGTCTGCTTGTTTAACCAAGTGAACCAAGGACCAGTAGCCTGATGTTCTTCCAATTCATTGTCAACTATCCAATCATTAAAGAATGTCATTGCCGCATCAACCCTGGAAGAATTCGAAGCCTCAGTAGGAATTCTGATATCATTGAAATCTCCAAA